GCTAATAGAAAAAAAATTGGTTTCAACATTTGACCTATAAACCTTAGTAATCTCACTTTAAAGAATATTAAAGATACGTTGCTACTATTTTAAATTCTGTGTATGTTAAATTTTATTTAACCATAATAATAAAAATTTACAAATTTTCATCGTAAGATTACAGAAATTGGTAAGGTGTCACTTATATAGTTACAAACTAGTCAATGGAGTGACACATAAAAAACATAAAGTTCTCAACAACAAAAAAGGAAGAAATGCAAATGAAATATAAATGAGGAGAATAAAAAAAAAAAAAAAAGTCAACCAAAACTATATAAATTAAAAGAAAAAGAAAAACAATGATAATAATTATTCTTGCTCGTTTATTAATATTATGAATACTTCTAAATGGAATTTATATATTAAACATATAAAATTATATTCTGGTTTCTTCTTATGATATGAAGACTTTTAAATTTTATTTAAAATAAATTAAAGATTAAAGGTTTGATTACTTTGAGCTCTTATATTTATCATCAAAATTTATTTAAATTAAATAAACAATTTAAATCAAATAAATATCAGCCTGCTCAGTCCCTCTTTATTTATAAATATAAAGTAAATAATAATATAATTATAAATAAAATATTTATAAAGTATTCTATTTATTATTTTATTTAAAGCTCACTCTACTGAGTTGTTAGATTACTATAGAAGTTTTTGCCACAGATAGTTAATATTTGATTTCAGATACTGATGCAGATTTATCCATTACAGAGACAGAAGAAGAATGAATACTATAATTTCAGAGTGTAAAAAATTAAAAGAAGCTTAAGAAAATGTTATGTAGTGTTAAATTAAAAATAATAAAAAAAAACAACAACAACTTAAAAGTGTGTAAAAAAGAAGTTAGAGAGAAATCTATCAATTGTACTTTTTTTTAGCAGCAGGTTCACAACAGTTATAGTGGAATACAAAATGGTCTTAACTTAGGATTTTTTTTAGTTTAGAAATTGTTCGTTTAATGAATACAGAGAAGTAAAAAAAAGATCTTGAAATAAATAGCAATAAAAAGATAAAGTGTGTTTGCAAGATTTTTTATGTTGTAGATACAACTAGATCAGCTAAGAGTGTTTATTTAGAGAAAGAGTGTTAAAAAATAAATTTACTTGAGTAATATTCAGAGATTTTTATCCACTCTCAAGTAAATTTATTTTTTACACAAGTGTAAAAAATAAATTTACTTGAGTAATATTCAGAGATTTTTATCCACTCTTAACAAAAGGTGCATTAAAAATAAAAATAAAATATACATCACATGAAAAGATGCGTAACAGTAATTTATGGGGAATAAAATTTGAGGATGTTCAGCTAGCACACTATAATTAGATAGATCAAACAAGATGATTAAATAGAGGATTAAAAATTAGATGATTAGATAGAGGATTAAAGAGAAACGATGTTTACATAGAAGAACAGTATGGCTATAAAAGATCAAAAAAATAGCAATAGTCTTAGAAGAATATTGGGAATAGTTGGAAATATATGTGAGTTACTGATATTGTGCACTATATAACATTAATATGGTTTGCACACAGAAAAAGTAGAATTAGAAGTAGGAAAATTTGGGGAGAATATTTTAAAAAAGCTTAAGTTAAAAAAAAAACACTAGGTGCGGTAAAGTATCAGAAACGACATAATGAGAAACTTTCAAACAGGGGCGCTAAGAGCTTTTGCCCTGCCTTGGGCAGCAACCCTGACTTGTGTCCTCATTTTTATACATTTTTTCTATATTATTAGTCAAGGATCTTAGCTTTGGAACCTTTTTTGTTTTACACCCCTGCTGATCTGAATGCTGATTAAATTTTAAGCATATATAGTGCCGAAGCTTCGGCTTCGGCCGAAGCTTCGGCTTCGGCAAAGTGGCTTCGGCCGAAGCTTCGGCTTCGGCAAAATTTTAGCTTCGGTACATCCCTAATCTAAAGTTTAAAAAAAACATTATTTAATAGGGTTTTACCGAAAAGAACATTTTTGAACAATATATGCTTAATGTGTTTTTTATATAATAAAAAACCTGTTTTTTAAACATTTTTGAATAAAAAATATTTTGATGACTCCCTCGAGACCCTTAGAAACTTGTTATGTTCCTTTGAGACCCCCAAGGAACATAACAAGTTCCTAATATTATAAAAAAAAATTATTTAAGTGTATCATGTTGGGTCTTAAATAAAGCAAAATATGAAAATTTCAATGTTAGATGTAACACCATAAAAAATGAATTTTATTAACTGAAAAAGAAAAATGTTCATTTTTACCAATTTTTGGCAATATATATATTTTTTTAATAAGTTTTTTATAATATAATTATTATATTTGAAATTTTCATGATTTCGCTTAATTTGAGACGAAATGTCAAGATACACTTTTGAAAATTTTTTAAATTGATAATATTAGGAAATAATATTTTTTAAAAATATTGTTTTTTAAGGACAACCTTATAGGTATAAAGTATTTATATTCAAAACGAAGTGTGAACAATTTTACTTTTATGCTCTAACTGAAATTAAAAATATTAGGTAACTTTAATAAAATTAATAATAACATATAGCTAAATAAACTTTAAAAAATATCTTAATAATAAATAAGCTGATAATAATACAGTGCACTTACGGTTCCAATCATATGTTGAATTAATTTACTAATATTATTAGTAAATAGTCATAACAATAAAAACAAGTTTTTATATTGAAAAAAAGTTGAAGCAGTGACCAGAAAAATATCATAAATATAGAACATATTTATCTGAAGTTCAAAAAAAATTATTGAAATCCTACAGTCAGATTTTAAGAAAATTGATTTCAAATAAATAAACAAATCTATGAGTTACACTAAAAAGTTGTTAATTGAAAATAAAGTTTAAGTACTCTAAGATATTTTTTATCCTTTTTTTATTTATATTTTTGTGAAAATTTTGTAATAATATACTGATCTATGTAAAAATAAGGCTACAACATTGAGTTTTTAGAGATCAAATAACAAATAACACAATTGCCATATAAAATATACTCTGTAGTTAAGAACCGTAGCCATTTTAAAAGTTCAAAAGTTTTTCGCATTTTTTATCTCGCATGCGTACCTAAACATGGCGCTTGTAAACGACCGTGAATAATTTCTGCTTTTTGTATGTCTTGTATCTCTTTTTGACTTCTTTTATTATCAACATCCTCTTTTTTTGATATCCCAAAACGTAGTACTCTGGATTTGCATTGATCCAACTCGAAACTTTTTGATAAAGTTTTAAACTTTACGGTCTTTTTTCTAGGTTTCTTGACTTTCCAATCTGTGACATTCACTCCACTATTTGATGATACGGTTTTCCTTTAAACTTTTTACTTATTTGCAAGCGAATTATTTGAAATAAATATTGCTCTAGCAATATACCACTACCGCATTGTTTAAACGTATTGCTACGACACAGGTGTCAGCAATACGTATAAACTCAATGGCTGAGATTAAGTAGTGTGCTACCACTAATTAGGTTGCGATAAACACCAAAAATAAACACACAGTCGTTATGTTAGTTTAAGAACGATTAGAAATAAGAATTATCGAATTAGAAATAAGAATTATCGAATTGTATAATTGTATATGAAGTTAATGTCAAGTACATAATAATTGGTTTATTTTATTTAAAAAAAACAAACGATTTCTAATTTTTTTTGCTAGTATTAAGTAATAGTATTAGATTTTTTTGCTTAAGTTGAGTCAATCATATTTATTTTTTTATTCGCCAAAATCATTTTGTTAAAAAAAAAAAAAAAAGTTGAGTTACTATAATAACTTACATAGCTATTTAAATACAACATAAAAATTATTCAGCCGTATAATATATAATTAATAGCCAACCCCTAATGAAGGATTGATTTAAAATTATTTTCTTTTATTGTTCATGTTAGCTTTACCCAATTATCTTAACATATATTTTTTTTTAAATCAAAAAATGTATTAAGACCCATAAAGTATTTATAATACATTTACATATGGGGTTATCAGTACAAAAAAGATTTTTGGCTTATCTGGATATTATCTTTTACTTATGTTTAAATAAAAATAAACGAAGTTTACGTTTAAGTAAAAACCAGGTCAATATTTTTTATTTGCGAAGAACAACATAAAGATGTTTATACAAAAAACAGTTGTTTGCTTTTTAATAATAACGTCGACGCCTAAGACGATAAAGAAAAAACAATTTGAAAAAAAAAATAGAGTTGAAACTAAAAATAATAATAACTGTTGAATTTACAGACTCACATGCTTTGGTGTTAAGTTTCATCAATCAGGTCTGTTTACATTAAGCAAATATAAAAATTATGAAGTAATAGTTTCTTTTAGGAATTTCGCGAAAATATTTGTCTTTATTTGTCTGAAAGTTTAAAAAAATGAAAACCTTATAATACTTAAAATGTATGAAGAAGGACGCCGTTTTAGTACCAGTGGGATTAAGACAAAAAGAAAGTCAGTTCACGACCAACAATTTCTTCAAGCACCTACAAATAATCGTCAACTGGCTTCAAAACTAAACCGTCGAGGGGCTTCTTTATCTGAAATAAAACTCGATTCTTCGGACTCAGGACAGCCACGAAAGAAATCATCAATATACTTTCCGATAAACAAAGAAGACTTTATAGATGAAGCATGTATTGATTACAGGGAAAGTTTTCGTATAACTTTACAAGAAATTTACGCAGAACAAGATAAAGAAAAAGAAGTAAAACGGCATAAACAACAAAAACATCAAACAAAGTTGAGAGAAAACAATCAAAATACTTTTTTTTCGTTTTTTAAATATATGGCAAATGAACACGATAGTCTTTTGCAGATTATTGTTCTTACACCATTAATATTGACTTCAATTTATATAATTTTTATAGAAAAAGGTTCTCTTATCAAGTGAAATGAAAGCGGGTGTTAATATAATTTATTTTTAAAAAACTGTAAAACATTGTCTTTATAAATACCAATTATAAAACAAATATATACTTGAATGTTATAATTCTACAATCTGCGCGCGTTTGTATTATTTTAACTTGTTATATTTTTTTAATGACGCATATTTCGTGTCATGCAGTTGCGGTAGTATAATACGTAATTTTTTCGACTAAAATCTGAAAAATATAAAACTGTCAAAAAAACGCAACCAAAAAAATATTTTTAAAGCAATTTATCTATACTTACTTTAGCTATCACAGGTGTTTTACAAGATATGTGTTCGATTTCCTGAAAAATTTCGGATTCCATTTCAACTGAATTTAACTAAAGTAGTAAAAATAAAAATAAAGTAATAATTTGATAAAATAACGTCACTCACAATATTTTTATGTTTATGTGAAAATAATGTAACAAATATATGCAACACCCAGTGTTAAGATAATTTTAATATATTTACAAGCATTTAAGAAGTTATGTTTCCAAGAAATTAAAGTTTACTTATGCTTGCACTATATACAAGTATTTTAATATTCTATAAAGTAAAGTAACACGAATGTAAACTTTTTCTAAAATTTATTTTTAACAATAATTCCTCAGAGATTTTATATACCCTTGATATAATTTTGTTATAACAACCCTTATTATACTTTCTCGTAAAAATAAATTATTATAAAACTTGAAAAGAAATAAACTTTCCAAATCTTTTAAAAATTATATTATTATAAAATTATAATTATTTAACCCACGCACTTTATGCAATATTTTTTCTTAATCGTTTTGTCTGGAATAAAAAAAGAAAAACCTGTTTGCAATTAGTTACAATTGTTATTTGAAAGTTTATTGCGACCATACCCGACGGGCATTTGTTTTTAAAAGTTACGTTCTAAATGTGTTTTAAATGTCTTTTAAACGTCTTTTAAACATAAATGTTTAAAAGACGTTTAAAAGACATTAAAAATACATTTAGATCAGGGTTGTCCAACGCGTGGCCCGCGGGCCACAAAGTGGCCCTCGTTGTCTTCTGCCATGGCCCGCGTTTTCAATTCTTAACTTATCAAAAACCATTCAAAACTTTTAACAAAATCAAGTGAATATTATATTTTTAAAACTATTTTTTCTGTAGCTCAGAATTAGGGCAGTTTTTTAATATAATTTTAAAAATCAGATTTTTTTTTAAATTGCAACACGGTTAAAACTACCGCCTTATTTTTTTTATAAAACCGGTTAAAACGGTATTGACTATTTGGTTAGCGGAACCATAGTTATATTGATTTTTTTTAAAATATGGCTTCTGCTAGTGCTAATAAAAGACGTAGAGCTGAAACTGAAAGTGGAAGAGGAGGTCGTATATTTAACCCATCTTGGACAAATGAATATTTTGTAATGGAGCAAAATAATTCAATTATGTGTCTCATTTGTTTTGAAAAAATTGCCGTGTGCAAAATGTATAATGTTAATAGACACTATACTACAAAACATGCAGCAACTTATGATAAATTCAAGGGCCAATTTCGTGTTGATAAGGTAGAACTGCTAAAGAAAAATTTTATCGGGCAACAATCAATAATGAAAAGTAAAGTAATTAGCTCATACAGTGCTACCAAAATAAGTTTTTTAATTGCAGAAAATATTGCAAAAAGTGGTCAACCTTTTTCTACTGGAGATTTAATAAAAAACTCTATAAAACAATTTTGTAATGAGGTATGCCCTGAAAAAATACAATTTGCTGAAGATCTCAGTCTTTCACACCAGACAATTGCAAGAAGGGTTGAAGATCTATCAAAGAATATTGAATTAGCATTGAAAGAAAAACTATGTAAGTGTGAAGCATATAGTCTGGCACTTGATGAATCAACAGATAGAAGTGATACAGCTCAGTTAGCTATTTTTATTAGATTTATAACAAGTAATTTTGAAATAATTGAAGAACTGTTGGATTTCAGGCACATGAAAGGCACTACTAAAGGGGAAGATATTCTTTCTGAAGTCAAAAAAACAATGATAAAGTTTGATTTGCCAGAAACAAAACTCTCTGGTGTCACTACAGATGGAGCAAGTTCAATGAAAGGAAAAAATATTGGATTTGTGGCATTATTTAAGAAATCCATTAATCACAACATTCTTTCATATCACTGTATTATACATCAGGAACAGTTATGTGCAAAAGTATTAGAAATGAAAGAAGTCATGGAAATTGTTATCCAAACTGTTAATTTTATAAGAAGTCGTGGCCTTAATCACAGACAGTTCAAACAATTGCTTGAGGATTGTGGAAGTGAGGCAGAAGATGTAATTTATTTCTGCCAAGTTAGATGGCTCAGTCGAGCTGCAACTTTGAAAAGATTTTGGATATTAATACCTGAAATAATAAAGTTTCTAAAAATTAAAGATAAAGACACAAGCTTTCTTGAAAATAATGACTGGCTGAATGATTTGGCATTTTTAGTTGACATTACACAGATGTTAATGGAATTAAATATCAAGTTGCAGGGTAAAGATCAACTTATTAGTAAATTATATGAAAATGTAGAAACATTTGTTTTGAAATTGACACTTCTCAAACAACAATTAAGTCAAAAATCACTTATCCATTTTAAAACATTGTCAGAAAGAAATACCAACACAGTTGACTATGAAAAATATTGTAATCTTATTTTAAAAGTAATTGATGAATTTGACACAAGATTTTGTGATTTTAAAGAAGTAAAGAATGAGTTAGACTTATTTTCACATCCATTTTCCATTAAAGTTGAGACAGTAAGAGATGAATTTCAAATGGAATTAATAGAACTACAAAACAATAAAGATTTGAAAGATGCTTACAAAGATGTTGAATTGTTTATAAAAACTTTATAAAAAATACATGAACATTTATAAAACTTTATAAAAAATACATGAACATTGAAGTTTATCCACATTTGTGCAAACACGCTATGAAATACTTTTCCCTTTTTGGAAGCACATACATCTGTGAACAATTTTTTTCAAGAATGAAACATGTTAAATCAGAGCAGAGACATAGGTTGAAAGATGAACACCTCACTGATACACTTCGGATTTCATCGTCCACTATAAAAGCTGACATTGATCAATTGTGTAAAAATAAACAATGCCAAGTTTCCCATTAAATACATTTTTTTTGACAATATTGAAATGGAATTAGTTGTTTTAAATTAGAAGTTTAAACAAAATGATTTTTCTTAATTTGTGGCCCTCGTGTTGTCATCAAAATAAAATAATGGCCCAGGCTGTAAAAAGGTTGGACAACCCTGATTTAGATCGTAACTTTTAAAAACAAATGCCCGTCGGGTAACTTTTACCAAACGATGACGTAACAAACGAAAACACGGTGTATCGGATAATTTCAATGTTTTATGAGTTTATTTAGTATGTAAAAAAACAACAACAATTAGCTAACGTTAATAGAGAAACACATTCGTGTCTAGTTAGCGCATAAAAATTTTGCCATTTCATAAAACTAAATCTAATACGCTAAGTCATTAAATTTAATTTTTATTCTAAAGACAAACGTATTTTACTTTTCAAATCAAATGGAATACAATACACTGGTGTAACAAGCTTTTTGCAAAAGGGGTCGTCCACAAATTACGTCACGCAACTTTTGACCATTTTAAACCCGCTTCCCTCCCCTCGTCACAACATTGTAACAGCAAAGATTAAAACAGCCTGTGGAATCATTCAAAGATTTTTGTAGGTAATTAAACCTCAATAAACAAATGTCCAAGAAATGCTTCGCCATACTTAAAAAAGACCTAGAGTAAAAAGAAATGCCTTGCCATATTTAAAAAAGATTAAAACTGGAATTTATGACTATTATTCTCATCGTTAATACGTGACTTAAAAATGTTAAATTTCACCATGGGAATAAAGTCTGGATATGTCAAATATCCTTGCTTTTATTGTATGTTTGATTCCATGCAGAGTCAGCTGGATTTTAATTCCACTTATACATGGTATTATTATATTAATTTTGATAATGTTCTTTTGGTACCTATTGAAAAGATTGCATTCGCTGACCTACATATAAAGCTAGGTCTTTTTAAGTATGTTAAAGCATTGGACAAAGTAAGCGATTGTTTTAAATTTATAATAGTTCAAGAAATAGAAATTAGAATTCTTATAAAATACGAAATTTTTTAATGATAGTTTTTCTGGCAGGATGCATCGTGTAGAACTTCTGAACTGATGCTAGTGTCAATTTAAGTAAACAAACAAGGCCGATGACACGGGTTTCAAAGTGGAGGGGGGGGGGGCACAATCATAAATTTGTATAAAAAGTGGGGGAGGTAGTGCACGTGTCCCCCCCCCCCTTATCGTCGGCCTTGACAAAACTAATTGAATGTTTTATAATTTTATTTTCTTAAATTATTTGAACTATTTTTAAGCTTTTAAAAAACTTATTAAAGTTAATTACTTTTGATGATTAGTTGTTTACAAGTTTAAAAGTATTTGTTGCTATATTAACAATCTTTGTTGCACAATTATCAACCTTAGTTTCACATCAACCCATTCTGAAAATTGAGCTCGTCTGAGGCTGAAACTGCAGGTAATTGTTAAAATTAATGTTAAATAATATATTAATATATAAGATAATTAATTTGGATTTTGTGTTACCGTTCCATTTTGTAAACTTTGATTAAAAAAAAATTCTATTTAGCAAAATATAACAAAATTTAATTAATGGATAAAGTCTAACGAATAAATTTGAACTAAATAATTAAGTATTTGTATCCAACTATAAATACTTTTTACAAAAACTTTTAAGGCCAAAACATTTAAGGCCACAGCTAAAACCAAGAAATAACAGTACTACTTAGATGCGTATATGTTACTAACCGTGTATCTTTATAAAAAGATAAATGTCTCAGATTTATCTCAGATCACTGAACCTAAGATATATGGTATATTTAAATTAATTATGGCATTAATTTAAACATCGTTAAGATATATGGTATATTTAAATTAATTATGGCATTAATTTAAACATCGTTAAGATATATGGTATATTTAAATTAATTATGGCATTAATTTAAACATCGTTAAGATATATGGTATATTTAAATTAATTATGGCATTAATTTAAACATCGTTAAGATATATGGTATATTTAAATTAATTATGGCATTAATTTAAACATCGTTAAGATATAAGGTATATTTAAATTAATATTATGGCATTAATTTAAACATCGTTAAGATATATGGTATATTTAAATTAATTATGGCATTAATTTAAACATCGTTAAACCAAATGAAATTATCAATCAAAAAATCAGAATATAGAATGCAGTTAATCGATAATAAAGTCGTAATAACAAATAAAAAATGCATTATTTTTGACCCACTATATTTTTATTTAAGTGTTTTTATGTTTTTATAATGATTGTATTGTCAACCAACTAGTTGGTTGAAAATAAAACATAATCATTATCATCTCAATATGTTGAAAAACAAGCAGGATATTTTAATGTAAATATTAAAATGGAAAATCAAATTTTAAATTTTTTATAATTTTAGAACTCGACTCTTTAAAATTAATTTTAAAAATGAAACAATTATGTAAAAAAATATTCTGCCATTTGAAATATTTAAATATAAAAATGAATCTCTTAAAATAATATTTTTTCCGAAACGCCTTTATTCTTTTACTTTTTAATTATTAATGCTAAAGGACTAGACAAAAAAAAATACGAATTTAACAATAAATAAGACTACCTTTGATAATAAAAAAACAGTTGATTCTTTTTGTTCAACGCTTTCAATGACTTTGTATTTTAAAATAAAGGAAATGTCCCAATCATCAAAAAAATTCTTTTGATTAGCAGAAATCAAATTTCTATTAAAAAAAATAATTTTTTAATAGTTTTTAATTTTAATCAAACGATGTTCATAAATAATAGAACCTTACTCCGTTTATCAATAATAGAAATCTTACTCCGTTGTGAAAAAAACAAAACGCAGTGGTTCGTCAGAAATGACAACATAATCTTTATAACTGAAATCAATTTTCTTTTTAATGCTCAGCGACTATAAAACAGAAAAGAAATAAAAAATATTCTTTCTAAATTACTTATGAAAATATGGATTGTGTTGTGGCATGCCACCACACAAACCGTATGCCCCCGGATGCATTTTCATAGTAATTCATAATAGTGCACACACAGCAGTTATGATGCTATTATTGTGCTACACATTGCAATTAATGTGTGTAGCCTGGATTTTTATTATTGCATGTGGGTATCGTTTTTAATTTAGGCTATCGTTATAATTATAAATTTTTGTACATTCAATTATAAATTTTAGTTTATGAATACGAAAGCGTGCAATTACTAAAAAATTTTTTTTTATTAGTCATTTGATAGAAACAAAACAAACAATAAAGTACTTTTTAAATATACTACCTTTAGCAGTCCATACCCATAAGAGTGTTCGTTAGAATAAATTACAACAGGCTATGTAAACAATAAAAACAAAATTTAATAAAAAATAATAAAAAATGTAAAGCAATATTACTTTCGGTAAACATACCTGATTTGGCACGGTTACTCTAGGCAAACGAACTCGACAAACAACATCTTTTCCAACCTGCTCGGAAAACCTTTAATAATGCAAATCAAAAAAATTTATTCTTATAATAGCTAAAACTATATAAAAGGATACACCAAACAAAAAAAAATTTAAACAATACCTTTTTATACCATCAAGACTGCTCGTGACGAGATCAACAACGCCACTTGCAGGCTTTACTAACAGCCCAATAATACCTTTACCAAACCCTTTAAAGAAGCCATTAATACCACTTGCACGTGCACCTTAAATAATGTAAGAACCAATTTAAAAGAAAAATATTTTGTAAGTTTTCTTAATGTTTTCTTAATTGGTTTTATTATTTGTACGATCATAAAAAAATATTTTCACATGATAGTCATAACAAGCCATAACAACAAGCTAGTATAACATGTTTCTTCAACCTTTATTTTGTTTTATTATTTTAACACTTTCTTTAAAACTTTTAAATCGCGAAACTTAGTTTCAAAATCATAAAAAGTTAATATTTTTTCAAAATTTATTTTGCCTATAATATTGGGTCGGCTAAAATGCACTCAATAAACTTTACGTCAGTTCATCTTTATAATGTCTTTATAAAAGTTTTTTATATACGTTTTTATATATGTATTTTATTTTACGTCTAACGGCGGTCTGAGCTAATCATACTAAAATATCGTATGAATAAATCAAGCTGTGTTTTATGGTGTTATATGTTAAATAAATTATCAAGTAAAACAGGAAATAAAATAATACACATGTATTAAAATTACATATACAGTATTAGCCATTAATAACAATCATTAACTACAATATTTCAGCAATACAACAATTAAATTGACTGGAAAAATTATTGATATGACAAAATGTAAAATAGTAATGAATGAAGAAAACATCTCAATGAGAGAAACTGCATAACATTTTAGCACAACAACTGCCACTTTTAGCAGAATAATCAGCCGATATTAAAGAAACAATACAATTCAAAACCTTCCATGTCCTGGAAGTCTCAGCATTTCAAATAAAAAAAATTAACGTTCACTTATTTGCATAGTGAAAAAAATTAGAAGTTTATCATCTACTGATTTCAGTCGAAAAGGAAAAAACCTTTTGGTATTGTTGCTAGTTCGAAATACCGCATCTATTGATAAAACATCAGAAAACAAGAAAAATCTGGTGTTTAGCTCATAAAGTTTGGTTTATGAGCATGTGACACAACGTTCTTTTCAGAGATGAAATAAACGTTGAGGTTGATTTAAGAAAAACCAAGTAATGCTGAGAAGAAAGCCATATGAAAAAATGGACCCAAATTGTTCTACGTATAGAACAATATATATTATGGTAGTGATAGTATAGGCATCTGAACCTGCATGAACTATGAAGGTATCGGTTGTTTCAAAATATTTAAAGGAAAGCTCGATTCTCAAAGATATTTAGACACATTGGATAACTATTTAATGCTTTCTTGGACATTTTCTTAAAAGACATGGGAACCTTCAAACATGGTAATGCTTCATACTGCTAAGATTTGCAAGCAATTATTTGAAGAAAACAAGATTAAAACCATGTCTTTGTCTGCCAATAGTCCAGATCTCAATTACTTAGAGTATTTGTGGTCTGTGTTAAACCACAATCTTGGTAAAATTGAAATAAAAGATCTAGACCAGCTGAAAGAATTAGTAACAAAAGTACTGAATAGCGTTCCAAAAGAGATTACTCAGAATTTGGTGAACTCTAGGCCGAAATATATCAGTGAATGCTTAAAAGCAAAAGGATTGTCAACAAAATATTAATTTTTTATTTAAGTTTTGTAAGTATTTTTTTATTAAGATTTATTTATTTTGTTTTTGAGGTTTGTTTATTTTCGCCACAATTTTTTTTTGATACAAATGAACTCTTATTTTATTTCAATATTTTTTTTTTTTTAATTTTCTTGATTTTTATTATTTTATAATAAATTTATATTAATTTATATTATTTAATAAAAAATTAATTTATACTGTTTGATTTATATCATTAAAAAATTAAGAATAAATCACTTTTAGTTTATAAAATATTTAATTTCAAACTTATATTCATACTAAAATAACATGATAAATTGTTATTAATGACCAATACAGTACATAGATATGTAAAAATCGTAAATGTATAAAAACTAAAAATAGCAAGGGAAAGACTACAAGTTGCAAGTCAAAAATCGTAAACAGCAAGGTCAAGGCCAAAAGTCAGACAAAGCTTGTAAAAAGTTAATAAATAACATGAAATTTTTGGTGATTAATAAAATAATAGTTTAAAATTTTTTGTTGTACAATTATCAAACATAGTTGCAAAATTATCAGCCTTTGTTGCACAATTATCAATATTTGATGCATATCAATCCATTTAGGAAAACAATGAGTTTTTTATAAAAGTTCCTAAAAAATTCTGGAAGCTTTGAGAAGTCATCAAAATTTGAGTATATATAGGGTGTTACAGGGTAATTCAAATTTTTGCATTGCAAGTTCTGTATGTTGTAAAAATAGACGATGTTAAAGATTGTGTATATCATATCTGTTTAGTAAGCTTCAGTAAGACCACTCCCAAAAATACATAAATAACACACAAAATTTATAAATAAACTTTTTTCAAAAAAAAAAACGCTCATTACTTTTTAAGCTACTTACTTATTGTTTTTTAATTATACTTAAGCAATATAATTAAAAAACAATGTGTGAATAATAGTTTGAAAATTTTGTTTTAATGACTTCATTAAAACACATTTAATGAGTACACACATTTATGTGTACTTAGAATGATAGCTGAATACCTTAAAGCTTCTTATATAGAACAAAAACACCTTCCAACCCTGATTTCACTTACTATGAACAAACTAATCACTACTAACCTTGAACTGGTTTTGTAACTAGACCAGAAATGCCAAACAAAATGCCCTAAATATAGCATAATAATATAAAACTAAAAGTAATTGCTATAAAGTTCATAATGAAAGTATCCTTACAAATAAAAACTGCTTTCCACCAATAATAAATTCTTGTCCAACACAACTTTGGTTAACTTGCATTCTTGCCTTTCTTTTCTAGTAAGTAAAAACGTAAATAAAACGTGTAAAATAATTTTTTTAATTGAAACCTTTTTTTTTATTTCATAAAAATGCGTAAAACCAGAAAAAGTTATATGTTATAATACCTTGAGAAAAACAGAAAAAGTTATATGTTATAATGCCTTGAGAAAAACAGAAAAAGTTATATGTTATAATACCTTGAGAAAAACAGAAAAAGTTATATGTTATAATACCTTGAGAAAAACAGAAAAAGTTATATGTTATAATGCCTTGAGAAAAACAGAAAAAGTTATATGTTATAATACCTTGAGAAAAACAGAAAAAGTTATATGTTATAATACCTTGAGAAAAACAGAAAAAGTTATATGCTATAATGCCTTGAGAAAAACAGAAAAAGTTATACGTTATAATGCCTTGAGAAAAACAGAAAAACTTATATGTTATAATGCCTTGAGAAAAACAGAAAAACTTATATGTTATAATGCCTTGAGAAAAACAGAAAAAGTTATATGTTATAATGCCTTGAGAAAAACAGAAAAAGTTATATGTTATAATGCCTTGAGAAAAACAGAAAAAGTTATGTTATAATGCCTTGAGAAAAACAGAAAAAGTTATATGTTATAATGTCTTGAGAAAAATAATATTTATAAAAAGGAAATTTCAAGTATTGAATTTGTTGCAAATTCATTGTTGTCCATTGCTATATATAACACTTTATGTTAAATAACTAAAATTAATGTAACATTTATTACTTTCATATTATACAAAACAACTACTAAACCTTTAACAAACAAACCTTTTTATACTCTGAATCAAAAGACATTGCTGCAACTACCTGCCCAAACTGCTCAGTTATCAAAGAAGCAGCTGCAATTGTGCCACCTGTTTAATAAGCAAAAATAAAAAAAAGGTTTTGAAAACTTTTAAGTCTGAGTTTAAAAATTGTAATAATAAATTTTTCTTTAAATTTAAAGTAGAATTAAGTTCCATACCTACAGTATGACCAAGTAAACTTTTCACTCCATAAGCTAATCCTTCAGCAAACTGACCTTCAACACTACCCTAAATTTGTCAACACTACCCTAAATTTCAACACTACGCTAAATTTCAACACTACCCTAAATTTGTCAAAAAATTGATTTTTGATCAACAAACAAAAAACATGTTGAAAAATTAAAACAAACATAAAATGAACTTACTAAATAAGGTTCATAAAAAAAGTCTTTTAAACCTTCCCCATAGTCTGATATTAACCCATATGGATTTCCAATGACATCTAAACCCAACACCAAAATGTGAAATTGCTTAGCAGCCTAAGTATCAAAGCAAAAATTAAAAAATTAAAAAAGTCAACAAATATTCTGAAAAAAACGCTTATTTTATGCAAAATATACCTGTATTAAGTAGTGTTTATTTATTTCAGCTACAAGAACTTCTCTTGGAAATGAAACATTTTTGCATTCAAAAAATGCTAGCCTAAATAAAAATTAGTTTGCGTTACAGTGAAAGCTTGTTTAATAAAGACATAATTTTAGGTTTAAAAAAAAATATATTATGTTAAATATTAAAAACATTGAAATATATTAACAAAAACATTAAAAAAATATTTAAATATTAAAAACACTTATGTTGAAAAAAACTTAGAAAGTTAAGGGTAATAGAAACAAAATTAATAAAAACATACTTGATAACAATATCACTAACATCTGTGAAATGTATTCCAATGGTACTAACAAGCCACTCAAGTAATGCTAAATTTATATTTGTATCTACTTTTCGACTTTCAATAGAGAAGCTTAAATGAATTTTTATTGGTGATAAATGAAAATAATTTAATACAAGGTTAGAAGAATGAGATCCTAATAGCTCAATGACAGCTTGCTCTTCACTTTTTTGCACAACTTTCATATCATCTACTAACAGGGTTATTTCATTTTTATTTGTCTTATCTATATTGCTAAAACTCATTATTCCAGTAATTATATCTCGATCTAATTTCAAATTAATCTCTTGTAGAAGTACTTTTAAATACCTTAAGTAAATAATATAAATAATATAAGTAAATACAAATCCAGTAGATAATCTAATTTAAAAATGCTGAAAACAAAATAAACATGTTATGGGGTCTTGAAAAACTAACTTTACAATAGCTTAATAGTGATTTGAGAGATGTTAACCAATAAAATTATTTATAACATGACAAAATAGCATAGCAGTGATTTGATAAACATTAACCAATAAAGTTATTTATAGCATGATAAAATGAGAGACATTAACCAATAAAATTGTTTGTAGCATGACAAAATAGCTTAGCAGTGATTTGAGAGACATTAAGCAATAATATTGTTTATGGCATGACAAAATATGTACTTTGATTATTTTGTATTTGACTAATAAAAATATATCAAAATTAAAAAAAAAGATATTTATGCTTTTTTTATAAATCTTGTTAAAAATTGTATTCAGTATTAGAAAAATAATTTAATAGAAATTATATCAAGTTAAAAATTTATATCACCTTAAGTTGTTGAAAACTGTTACTAACAACCTGAGACACATTTTTTAGCACCATAACAAAACTAACTTAACTTTAAAAAAAGTTAGTAGGTACTCAGCTTTAAAAAAAATGTTGAATCAAAAGATGGTGAATCAAAAAATGGTGAATCAAAAGATGGTTAATCAAAAGATAGTAAATCAAAAGATGGTGAACCAAAGGAGAGTGAACCAAGAGATGGTGAATATGTTGCACCTTGTTTTGTTTACCTTAAATTTAAAGTTTATATTGAGATCTGAAAATATTATTCAAGACTAAAGTACTTAAAAACATATCTGCATATATATGAAATAAATTTAAAGTACGTAAAAATACTGTTGAATTAAATTAATTAAATATAGATAAAAAACAAACAAAACTATGGTTAAAAACTCAGTTGAAGTATTTAAAAAGCTGAAATTTTCAATAAATTCATTTACAATTTTAAAAGTTTTTAAAAAGTTTTAAAGAAACAACAAATAAAATTAAAAAGCAAAGATGAATAAAAATTTACCGAATGATTACACTATTATTTAAAAAACCAAAGACAACTGAAGCCTCAAGAAATGGTTTAATGCCTATTCAAAAAATAATCAAAATTATTAAAAAACATTAAAAAATATCTTTTTTAATAAAAGACTTAAAAACCACATTATGAAAAGCAGTGGTATTTCTTAGACAAATACTAGTAGCACGAACATAAGGAGGTGACACTGGGGATTATATGGACAATATTTAACAGAAAGGAGCCAATAACAAAAACCTCTAACCAAGTTAATGACATAAATAAAAAATTTACACCTGAACACATATGCAAAACTAAAAAACTCACACAAACTAATAAATACAAGCATCACATAGTTTAAAAATATTTTTACTAGAAATAGATATATAGTTTTTTACTATATAAAATACCTTTTCTCTTCAAAATGTATTGTGGAAGAGGAGTAGGATACAAAACTGCTGGAAACACAACACCATATTGCTGGTTGTCAACCTTGTTATAAGATATGTAAACACTTTAATGGTATAAAATAAAATAATAATTCATATCAAGTTAAAATATCATTAAATTAAACAGAAATACAAACTTATGTTCATATTTTTTTGAAACTTATTTTACTGTCATGACAATTCTATTGTCATGACAATTTTACTGTCATGACAATTTTATAATTTGTTTAAGCCATTGGTAAAAATATGACTGTATAAATCACTTTGATTTATACAGCTATGTTTTTAATTTTGCTGTCTGTAGACTATTTTTAAATGTTGCTGAGACTAAAAGTAACACTAATATTCTAAAAATAGTATAACAAAATACTTGTAACCTCTGAATAAAAACAATAGTATAACAAAATACCTGCAACCTCTGAATAAAAACATGAAATGACAAATATTGTTTAGACTGAATTACATGCAGCCATAATCCAGGTTCTTGAGTTCGTCGCAGAGTTCCAGAAAAAGGAAATTTTATTACCATAGCTTCAAAATCAGCCTAAAAAATTTAAAATTTTATTTTCTATAGGCTAATGCTTCACACCCCTTTTTTTATTCTGTTATGTAAAAGTTTCTTATTTACTTTTATCTTATTTTTAATATTGACACTTATACAATCATTATTCCAACTTTCTTCTAGTAATGTAGACGTAACAATTTCTAAAACATTCCAACCTTTACCAGAATTCACTTCCCATTTAGAGGTACCCCTATAATGATTGAAAAAATTTGAATAACACACAATTTTTAAAAACGATAACAGTGTAATAATACTTTATAACAATAAAATACCCAGTAATGCTTATGTAAGCAATTTCCAAAGGAATCGAGTTAACCAATGATAATCCAATTCCATGAATAGAGACAAAAACTTCCATTGTAATAGATTCTTCATTTCCAATCTAAAAAAATGACACTAAAAGTTTCACAAACAGAAAATATTGAATTAATTAGGCTAGTTTAAAAGCAGTTTTACAACTCCAAAATAAATCTTTTTCTTTCATCCACAATTTGAGTTTGTACAAAAAAGATTAATATACAAAATCATTTACAAGAAATGGTTGGTTTTAAGGACAAGTACTTTTAACAATACAATTGCAATTTTGTTATAATAATGAATCTTACATTTGAACACAAAAAATCAAATTAGGTCTAGGATTCGGATCATCATGATCACCGTGATAAGATCTAATCCAGTACAACCTGCATTATGTTGTTCTAAATTGTAAGCAAAAGCTAGGACAAGTCAATTTTGATAAAATTAAAAAAAATATTCCCTGCTTTGAGGCTTTTGATTAAATAAAAGCAATAGATAGTGTCTCAATAAAAATACTCATCTTGGACATACTTTAAAGGCATACAGCAATTGTCTTGTAGAAGGTAAAGACTTAAGGGGGAAGGGGTTATTGCTTGTGCCTTCTTGGTAGTAGTTATGCAAATCTTCCTGCAAATTCTTAATGAGAGTACAGCTCAATAAATCAGTTCAATAAATCTAAGGTCAGCTGGTAGTATAGTTCACCAAACACTGTGGTAGCTCTCAAAGAATCTGATTCCATCAACAGATGTTAAGTACCAAATAATTAACAGAGCCATGTTGCACATGGAAGGTGTCCTTATAAGAGCTTTAGGTGTGCATGCACTTAAGGAGCCACTTGTTACAACTTTGGGTTAGTTAACAGGAATGCGGAAACTACATAGTACGTGAAAAAGTTTTTAAAATTATTTAATCATTCTATAGTTCTGTGCCCTCCCTAATCTATATTTATGATCTTCCTTATAATCTTACCTTTAAAAAAGCTCTTTTTGGTGATAAAGCAACTTTAGCCTTGACAAAAAGTTATAATTTTTCGGTTGCTAAGTAGAGTCAGCTGATTTTAAATCTAATCTCTCTTCTGTGACATCTTGGAGCTTAAAGTGGTTGGTGATTTTTAACCCAGATAAAACTGAGTTATTTACTGATCAACATAATATTATTATATTAACATTACTTAATCAACATAACAGTACTACTAATAATCATTAAAATTTTACCATTATTCCTGTATTTATGAATGACAAATGCTGAGTCTTGCTGATTTTCATACACTACTGAAATGTCATGGAAACCATATATTCAACTCATTGCACACAGAAGTGTAGGCAGATTTTTTTGTTCTTCCAGACATGGACCAAACTCCAAACATTTATACTTTTATACTTATGTCAAATAATGAGGCTTTGCAAAAAATTGCAATGATCGGACGCTGGGAACAAAAAAGCCCCAAAATTCTTGCCCCCCTGCCCCAAACGTGAGAGTAACAAGTTGATGAAATATTTTTTGTACTATTCTTAACTAGACTTATATTCATTGATTTATATTATATTATTATATATATTATATTCATCATATTCTTAACTAGACTTATATTCATCGATAAATTTAAAATTTCATAGCAATATATTTTAGCCTTCAAAAACTATGATTGTATAAAGTTTCAACCCCCCTCAATTTGAGGGGGTTACAAAATTTAAACGGTCATAATTTATGAATGCTGAAAAACAAACTATGAAACTTAAAATTTATCGATGAATATAAGTCTAGTTATGAATAGTACAAAAAATATTTTATTAACTTTGTAACTGTTTATGCTCAAAAAACATTTATCAAACTAGTTTTATTCTGTTAACATCAGTGCTTGGGAATTCTCTACCATCTTTGTGCTTTCCTGACACATACAATTAGGACTTTTGTCAACTGCTATTTAACTTTCTTCTATGTTTTCAACTCTCAACCTAATTAGTGATTGCTTGCAATCACTAATTAAGTTGAGAGATACTTTTGTCAAAATCATGCAAGTTGAGAAATTAAAATCATTTTGTTGAGAGTAAACTTTTGTCAAAACCATGCAATTGAATTTGTCAAAACCATCATACCAAAAAAAAAAAAAAAGTCAAAACCACCATACTGTAAAAAAATGTCAAAACCATCATATCGAAAAAAAAGTCAAAATCATCATACAGAAAAAAAATGTCAAAACCATCATATCAAAAAATAATCATGTCTAAAAAGTAAATAAAATCATTTTAATGTTTTATGAAAAAACAGATTTGTACTCCCTCATTAGGAAAAATGAATTTTTAATTTTTACATTTTAATACAATATGGCTAATTTTTAACTTTAAAAATTAAAAAAAAAAATTGTTATACAATATCAAAAACTTACCTTGTATAATTTCCTTGCAATATTAAAATCTGTTGTGAATGCTAATACTCTTTGTAAACCATCGTAAAATGAAACCCAATAAATATCTGGTACTGAATAAGTCAAATAAGAAGACATTAAGAAGCTATGTTTATCACCATGGCGTGGGAAACAATCAAAAGTACAACAACTTGAGCTTTGTGATTTTTCTTCCATGTTATTTGCTGTAAAACTTTCTAGTTTTCCAAATGTATTCTAAAGACAAATTACATTTATGCAATATAAACATTAAATATATATATATATATATATATATATATATATATATATATATACATATATATATATGTATTTATATATATATATATATATATATATATATATATATATATATATATATATATATATATATATATATATAAATATATAAATATATATAAATATATATGTATATATATATATATATATATATATATATATATATATATATATATATATATATATATATATATATATATATATATAATTTTTTTTCCTTCCCATTTATGAATTATTTTAAAATAAGTTCATAAATGGGAAAAAAATATTTTTTATAAATAATTTCTTAAGAAAAGTTAATTTAAATTATCCTTTAATAATGTTTGACAATTTACAACAAAAGAAAGTTCTTCTACTAAACAATGCCACAGTATTTAATTGGTATCATTAAAATGATGTGAACAATAAATAATATTTCTAATTGAACACTGATATATAAACAATTTAAATTTTTGCAGCTAAATTTATCTATATGAATAAAGTCATTTGAACTAAAAAACAGTTTAAAGGAAAACAACATAATCAGCAATAAAATAGAAAAATTGAACGTAAGATAGTGTTAAAGATGTTTTATTAAAGGTTGAGTATTAATCCACAATTTTATTTTCAAAAACTAAGTAATTAAAATTCATTTCTTTATTGACTACAAGAAAATCTGATATCTTGAAATAAGTATAAATTAAATGTATAATAACTGTAGCAATTTTTTAGAAAAATAAAAACTTTTATTTATAAAATAAAAAATTTTACTTATAAAACCTTTTATTTATAATATAAAAAATACTTATTTGTAATATTAAAACTTTTATTTATATCTTTATTTATAAAAAAAAAATGTTTAGTTATATTATAATTTATAAAATAAATTTTTTTTTTTAATTTTTTTTATTTATAAAAAAAAAACTTTTATTTACACCTTTATTTATGAAATAATATTTATTTATTCTTTAATTTATAAAATGAACATTTTTATTTATTCTTTTATTTATAAAATTAAAATTTATTTATAAAACAAAAACTTTTATTTATAAAACAAAATTTTTATTTATACTTTTATTTTTACTAAAACTTTGATTTATAGTGAAATTGATGTAATTTTTTATGTGAACATTTTTTATGAAAATCAACATATTTCATAAAAGAATAAAAACAGTAAAAAGATTAACTCAAAAAAACCTTTTTAAATATTTTTAAAGTTTTATTAAGAGCAAAACTTTTAAATCAGTTAAAAAATGTATTAAGTTAATTAAAAATGTTAAAACAAATCTTATGACTTAATATATATATAAAATAAATTTCCATTCTTTAAATACAATTCTTCCATTAAACCAATCTTTGTCATTGTTTAGAAGAATAGTTTTAAATTAACACATCATACATAACAATATAAACCACATAACATAAAAAATTCATTGGATCAAAATTAGTATCTAAAAAAACGCTAAGCCTTTTCTAAAAGTAAACACAAACAGCTTTTTAAGAAAAATATTCTATGTGCTTCAATTCCGCATCAAATTATCTTTGTTTATTATGATGTACTAACAAACACATTTTTATATAATTGAGTGAATAAACTTTTGAACATGACTTTTAAATGAGGAAAGCTTATTTTTGAATACTGAATATGAATAATGAAAAATCATTAGTATGTAATATAAAAAAGAGACCAGATAGACTTTTAACACAGAAAGAGAATGGGTACTTAGAAATCTTCTACCCTGTTAACATTAGAATATTGTTGTTTATGGTTGAAATATTGGCAGACATACCATGTTAGTTTTAAAACAATAAAGCTTCATAAACTTCTACTTGCATTTACTAAGAACAACCATTAACTGAAAATTGATCTAAATTAGCCACAGATATCCCCCCCCAAAAAAGATACATGCAGCTGCAAAAAAAAAAGAAGAATGGTGAAAAAGATTATAAAAAAGACAATCAAAATTAAGATTTTATGGGGAAAACCTTTAAAAAAGCAATTCTTCAAGAAACATTGTCAGGTGAATACCTGAATCTACCTAATCACCTTGTCAGGTGAATACCTACAAATTTTTATCAATGAGGGTACATATAATTTTGATGATGATGGATTCAATGACAGCAATAATAATACTCTTGATGAGCTATATATAAGATTTATAATTTTAAAGGTCTATGAATTGTTAAAAAAGTTGAACGTTGTTAAGAAGTGCAGTTTTACAATAAAAGAAAATCTCTTCCAATAGATTTATGAGAACTAATAAAGAATCTGCATTCATTGACTATAAGGATGTAGTACTTGCATTGCCAGTTTCTACAGAGGACAAGAGATCTGATTTTAAGAACACAATCTATTTTAAGTCCAATTTGGATAAGCATCAATTTTAATAACTTAAAAATGAAACATAAAGCTTATGTAGAATGAAACCATTTTATAAAAAATGACACAATATAAAAGTCTCCAATAACCTCCCACCCATAGTTTTTTGTACTTCACAGCACTCAGCATCATCTTGAGTCCTATTTTAGATTATTAAGCATTGATTTGACTAGCATTATTAAAAAAACTTTTAAACACTGAAAATCTGAAAAATACTTTACAAATTTTAATTTGATGAAAAAAGTATATTACTTTAAAAAAATGCAATAGTTATTAAACTCAATAAGAGTAAAAAAAAAAAAAAAATCTTCAATAGAGTTTAATTGCATAAATATTTTAAAATAAAACTTCTTTTTATGGATTTATTTCTATAATATTTCGAGGAAATATTGATACCCTTGTTATCAAGTATATTAAAAACCGTTATAAAAAATAAAACTGTTATATCATACAATACCATTTAAATTTATGAAACAATGTTTTTTGTAAGAGCTTCTTTTTAAGATTTTTTTAAGAGAGTTTTTTGTAACATAAGAATTTGAACATGGGTTTCCAAAATGATATGATCACACAATCGCCATCATCCCAGTTAAGACCATTATAGCAAAAGGTACTTTCAATGTGTTGTAATTCTAATGCTTCCCTAACTTTCCTATAAACACTATTTATTTCTATTTTTAAGGTATTGCGACCATTCCAGTGGAAATTTCCTTGGCAAATTTTAGATTAGTTCAAACCAAATTTCAAATCACTCTCAGAAAGTTAAATAAACTAGGATGTTTTACCAAAAAATAATATAAAATTATCTACCCAAGTGACATTGTACTACCACATTTATATGGAGTAATTAAAGCCCATAAACCTGAAAAAGGTTACCCAATGAGGTTAATTGTAAGCACCATTGGTATACCTACATATAACATCTCTAAATATTTAGTCAATTTGGTACAACACACTTTAAGCTTAAATGAAACGTGTTTAAAAAATTGTCAACAATTTGTGAGTACAGCAATATTAATGAAAATTGATAAGAATGAGGCTCAGGTCTCCTTAGATGTTGTTAATTTGTACCCTTTGGTCCTGATTAAACAGCAATCATTATACTAGTTGAAAGATTAAAAAACAACCAGAGCTTTATATCTAAATTAACTTTTGAAGAGATCAGGTTACTTTTAGAACTTTGTCTTTCTGATTGCTATTTTTATATTAAAATGATATTCATGAGCTCAAAAACTCTGGACCAATTGGTTTAGCTCTTATAATGGTAGATGTTGAGTGTTTTTTACAATATCATGATATTAAGGCCACTTTGAATTGCAAAGTTGTTTCCCGTCCTAAAAAAACCCGGTAAAGTATGCTGACAGGCGGCAAATTTCCGTTATCCATTATTTATTTTTTTATTTTTTATTTTTTTTATAGATATGTAAACTGTTAGGTTCAAGGGTTATTTTTCCGACCAGTGCACAATGGACCGGATATTAGACATATGGTGAACAAAATTATTCTGTTCTTTTTTTTCATTACTAAAACCCTTTAAATGTCCAAACAAGGACTTTGCATTAAGATATCTTTAATTTTATTATAAATTTTTGTCGAATATTTGCTAATACTAAAAATTATTAATCAAACTTTAAAAACGCAGATTTATTATGATGTAGATACCTAAAAAATATATAGCCAAGAAGGCTATATATTTTTTAAAATGAACATAACTGGCTCATGTCATTTATACTTATAGAGGTCAGGATTGCAACAGATTGATTTTTAGCAATAAGCTTCAGCCTAAAGTTAATCAGCTTATAAGAGACTCGTAAAAGTGTACATTAACAAATACATCATGTAAGAAAAATAAATCTATTAGCGTTTCAGGTAATTATGTACAATCATTTGCAACAGTAGTACTATACCTATAAAAATAATATTATAAGTATAATAAACCTGGTATAATAAGACCTGATGAGCCTATATAGATATTTGATTTCGGTCGTATACGTTTCGCAAAAATTTGCAAGACTTTGTACAAAATAAGGTTGTTTTTATTTTATTATAATGTACACCATGAAGGCGTGACGGGGCTTGTCACTCAGACTAGTACTGCGTATTTTTTTATTTTTTTTGTTCTAATACTTTTTTCAGAGTTAATTTTGTTCTAATACTTTTTTCAGAGTTAGTTTTGTTCTAATACTTTTTTCAGAGTTGCCTTAAGTTTAAAAATTAGGTCCTTGGCCTTGACCTTACGCCACATCCTTTTGAACTATGAATTTTCTTGAATATTTTATAAATATTGTCATTTCATAATTTCTTCAACTATAACTTGTCTTTTTTTTGTGTTGCTATTGGTAGGTCTGCTGAACAATAAACACAAATGTCAACATAGTTAGCTGAGTAGTACAAAGGTTCAACTGGTTCACCAAAATTCATTGATCGAACAAACACCACATCTTGCAAACCTTCAGGTAATTCAGCATCCTGCAGTAAAGAAACACAAGAAAAACACAGACCATCTAGAGCACATTCAAGCAGTTGCCTCTCATCTGTTCTAAATTTTCATGAAGCATAGATTATTTTGCACATATCA